TAAGTGAACTGCTGGACCTTTTGCCACACCATTGTAGGTGAACTGCTGGAGCTTTTTGCCACACCTTAGTGGGTGAACAAATGTTCTTTTATCTCTCTCTCTCTCTCTCTTTCTCTCTCTCTCTCTCTCTCTCTCTCTCTTTTCTGAATTCAAGTTTCAGATTTATTTGTCATTTGCACAACATGTCAGGACATTTATGCATTGAAATGCTTGTGATGAGGCTCAGCTAATCACTCTACAGAAAATAAATAAGTAAAAATAAAAATACAAGAAAAACAATCAGAAATATATTAAATATCCACAAAATATACACAAGATATACACAAAATATAGCAGCAATATACATTTTAAAGTGACTGAGTGTTATTGTTATTTAAAGTGACTTTCTTTAAAAGAATTCACTTGATTTAATATGAATTCTTTGTTGATTTCTCTTCTTTTAGGTGGTGGGCCAAGTCTGACTATCTGATTTAGTTTCTGAGTTGATTGGTCCCTGGCTCAGAACTGAGTGAAAACTCATTATTACACACTTCATTTTGTAAGTTGTTAGTATTCTGCTTTTCCTAAACTTTATAATAAGTCATAAAGCTAATCAGGTAACCACCATCAGTCACTATACAAAGTGGCCACTCAAACGTCTCACATTGCCTTTTTTTACTTGGAGAATCACCACCAAAGCTGTAAACAAGAGCTGCGCTAGCCCAGAGTATTAATCTGGCATAGCACTCAGTACCCCCTTCTACTGGGCTCTGTCTTCTTCACCATCCGCCATTGAGTTCGTCGATCTGTCACTAGCTCAGTGGTGATATCCCACTTCTGACACCAATGTGCTGCTCAAAAACCCGGAATGCTGCCTTAAAGTCAGACAACAAGGCAGCTCTTACAACAGCAAGAGCCAACCTGTTCCAGGCTATCAGAGAAGTAAAGCACAAACTATGTACAGAGAATCCACAGACACTTTCTAGACACCAGAGACACATGGAGTATGTGGCAGGGCATTCAGGCCATCACTGACTACAAAGTGACATCACATGCCTGTAATGGTGATTCCTTGCTCCCAGACACACTGAACAATTACTACACATAGTTTGAAGCACATAACAGCCAGCAAATGAGAAAGACTATCTCTCCTTCCTTAGACCAAGTACTTAGTACTTAGTTTGTTCACAGTAGATGTTAGAATTATTCTTTCCAAAGTTAACTATTAAAAGGATGCTGGCCCTGACAACATACTTGGCTGGGTACCCAAGGGATGTGCTCACATGCTTGCTTGTCTTAACCAACAGATGTCTTAATTCAACATTTCTCTGAGCCAGGCTGTCCTGGAGTGTTTCACCAAACAACCACCATCATCTCTAGGCCAAAAAAATCTACTGTGTCCTGCCTCAACAACCACTGACCCATAGCGCTCACTCCAGTCATCATGAAGCGCTTTGAGCGGTCAGTATTGAAATACATAAAAAGCTGTTTTCATTCCACTTTGGATTTATTTCAGTTTGCGTATAACAACTGGTCTACAGAAGATGCCATATCCTCTGCCGTTCACCTCTCACTGACCCACCTGGAGAGAAAAGACAATTATGTGAGAATGTTGCTCATAGACTTCAGTGCTGCATTCACCATAATCATCTTACAGCAACTTATTGGAAAGCCAGGGTTATGGGGCCTCTGCAACTGCAAAATTACATGACCTTGCTTCATCTTTAGAAGTTGATCCTATGTGAAAAGATCTTACAATAACTAAATGTTGAACTACAATTAAAAGCAGACAGCACTGTTTTTGACAGGGTTTTCCTCCAGAGTGACCCTCACTCAGATCACAGCTCACAGACCAACTCACTGCTGCATGTTTGCAAATGAAACCAGCTCTGTCTGACTGGAGGAGAACCTGACTGAGCTCTGAAATATCCAATCTCTGCTCAGTCCTCACCTTAAGAGTGTCCACAGCCTGTTCCAGCTCCTGCAGCTTCTTCTGTTTCTCCTGGATCCTCTGCTGGACTTCTCTCTGCATCTCCTCCAGCTTACTCTGTCAACAAACACAATTTATGATTGGGAATTATCATCTACAGACAATTGGATTAATGTGAGTTAATGTGAATGGATTCTGGACTTCCTGACAGGGAAATTTCAGTTGGTCAGGATCGGCAAGAACACCTCCAGCACCACTACACAGAACACAGGTACTCCTCAGGGCTATGTGCTCCGTCTCCTGCTATTCACACTGCTGACTCATGAATGTGCTGCAAAGTGTAGCTCAAGTCACATCCTCAAATTTGCTGCTGATACTACAGTGGTGGGTCTTATCTGCAATGATGATGGGTCAGCATACAGGGAGGAGGAGCAGCTTGCAGACTGGTGCAGAGACAACAGTCTATCTCTTAATGTTGGCAAGATATGAGAGATGATTGTTGACTTCAGGAGGACTTGTGGTAATTACTCTGCACTGCACTTCAACTTTCAAGAGAGACAAAAGCTCCAAGCTCCTTGGGGTGCATAGTACTGATGACTTCACTTGGACCCTCAACACCACCTGCCTAGCCAAGATAGCCTAACAGCGCCTTTTTTTGTTTCTTGTGAAGGATGAAGAGACCAAATCAAATGCTCCAGAGTCCATTAGTGACGTGCTTTACGCCACTCCATCCAAAGCTTGCCATTGTGCATTTTGATCTTAGGCTTGTGTGCAGCTGCTCAGCCATGGAAACCCATTTTTATGAAGCAACATCTCTTTGTAAAACTCTTTCTGCTGTTCCAATAACTGGGGTACACTCATTGTGACAACTGGATCATCCTCACAAGTTTTAGTGTGTTTAGGAGGCATAATCTGTCTTACTAGGATGTACCAGGAGTTAATAGATGTTGAACATGTCCAAGGCCTAGTAGGCCCAAAAATTCACCAACCTGGACTACAGCCACAAACTCAAATGTCCATCCAAATATTATCCACAATAATAAGAGAAGATACAGATCAAAGTCAGCTTGAAACTGAAAAGTTGTATTTGAAACCACCAGACAGGATTGAAAAGGATTCAAGGAAGCAACCTGAAGAGAGTCTGACTCTGCTGCTGCTCACTTCTTTTGCTGGTATTGCTTCCAGAGGCAATTTGGAACTCTGTGAGTCTGCGTGGTCTACTGCTTTGTGGCTGAGCTGTTGTTGCTCCTAGGTGCTTCCATTTCACAGTAACAGCACTTACAATTGACAAGGGCAGATCTAGCAGGACAGAAACATCACAAACTGACTTGTGGCAGAGGTGGCATCCTATGACAGTGCCATATTTAAAGTCACTGAGCTCTTCAGTGTGACCCATCCTACTGCCAGTGTTTATCTATCAAGACTGCAAGACTGTGTGCTTAATTTTATCCACCTGTTAGCAATAGGTGTGGCTGAAACACTTGAACTCAATAATTAGAAGGGGTGTCCCAATACTTATGTCCATATAGTGTAATTTATCTACCCCTGCAGTGTTTCCTGTGTTGCTGGCTGCCACACAAGCCCAAAGCATAAAAGATCCACCCCCTTGCTTATTGGCAAGGTGTTCTTTTCATCAAATGCTGTTTCTTTTTCCTCCAGGTATACCTTAGGGGATTGCAGCCAAAGATTACAGTTGAATGTTTGCATGGACCTCTGAGCTGAAGCAACTTCTCAAACTTTAAATTTGCAGACAGTTTTTCTACAGAAATTTACCTCCTGTGAAAGCCAGTAGCTTTTTATCAAAATGGGTCTTTTTCCAGTGCACAGATCTTCAAGTTGCAGGCTAAATGAAAAATTAATTTTGTTGCCATTGTTAGTCTATGTACTCAGTTGTTCTTCTCCTTTGTTTTTTTCTTATAATTGTTTAATAAACAATTGTGTTTTTCTTTTTAAAGTTTTACTACTTCTTTGTTCTGAACTTCTTTAGTCAAATACCTCATTTTCAGAAATATATTCATCTCTTAAATGGACAGGGATTCCGGGCCGCCCAAGGTTTTATTACACCCTTCTATAACATAATAATAGTTCTACAAGTTTGTATTTAAGCCTCTGTAGTTACTAAATAAGTAAGGCATAGTGTGTAATAAGCCTGGAATTTTTCAGGGATTAAACCATGAGAGAATCAGACCATATCTCTAATACATTTATATGATCATATAATCAGATATAGCTGTCCTTATTCAGGAAAAAAAAATATGAAAGAATTAGGTTTAGTCCCTTTTGAGAAAATATAAGGCCATGAAAGTCTATAAACTAGATGTTTAGTTGCAAAGCTTTTAATTTGAACTCATGACATAGCTTAAATACTGCATTTAGAAATTAGTACTTCATAGATTCGTTGCAATATATAAATACTACATACAAACTGACTCTATACTGCACAATCAGACCTAAAAAAATGCACTTTCTAATAAAATAACTTCTTGAGGTCATTTATAAGCACACATCTAGTTTGTTTGAAGTGAATAATTGCTCTTAATGTTTATATGTTTTATTTAATCTGAGTTCAGTTATTCCGTAAGCAGCTAAACTCAAAATTTAACATGCACTTCACAGAGAGGAGGAGGAGAAGCTGGACACCACTGTTTGGTGGACTTTTGAAGGTTGATCATATCTGTTTAAAGTACTGGATGAATTGGACTGAAAGTTGTTTTAGGGTCATCATGCCAAAGTATATTTTATAAACAATTTACTACATGTTAAATTTGGTAAATAAACAGTAATTGTGCATTAAAATGTGCACGTGTTCTCTTTAGGGGCTGTGTTAACAGTCCACAGCAGTTCAGCCCCAGCCATTCAGTCCATACCAGTGGTTCAGCTTAGACTGTTTTTTGAATGAAGCACAATACAGGGCAGCCAATCAGAACAGACTTAAATTACAGTCTTTTGCAAAAGTTTTATTCCATGTCTTTGTTTTATTTTCTAAATAAAAAAGGTAACATATTCTCTACAGAGAATAAACAGTGGTGTCCTCCTTCTCCTTTTCTCTTTCTCCTCCCCCTCTCTGTGACACTGTAACCAACAGAACAACCAGGAAATGACTCACACTCAGTGTCTCTGTCTCTCTCAGTGTAGACGGTCAGGAGAATGGCAGAGGCCAGTATTTCAGTAGATCAATACCAGTTCAGCTGTCCAGTCTGTCATGATCTGCTGACGGATCCAGTGACCATTCCCTGTGGACACAGTTTCTGTATGGTGTGCATTAATGGCTGCTGGGATCATGAGGATCAGTGCGGGGTCTACAGCTGCCCCCAGTGCAGAGAGTCCTTCACTCTGAGGCCTGTTACACGCCAAAACAACGTAATAGCTGAAATGTTGGAGAAACTGAAGAAGACAGAAGTCCGAGCTGCTCCTCCTGCTGGATCTGGAGATGTGGAGTGTGATTTCTGCACTGGGAGGAAACTCAAAGCTGTAAAATCCTGTCTGACATGTCTGGCCTCCTTTTGTGAAGATCATCTTAAACCTCACTATGAAATTCCTGCTTGGAAAAAGCACAAGCTGGTCAAAGCATCCACACGACTACAAGAGAAGATCTGCTCTCAACACGACAAACTGATAGAGATCTACTGTCGCACTGACCGAAACTGCATCTGCTATTTGTGTACAGTGGATGACCACAAAGGCCACGATACAATTTCAGCTGCAGCAGAGAGAACCCAGAAACAGGTGAGAACTACAGACCTTCTGGATCTAAATGAAGCTAAACTGCATCAGCTGAAGGATTTAAACTGTCTCAGTTCTTGAGTTTAATGGGGTTTGTGTGTAAAGAATGTGTGTAAAGTGTTGTGGATGAGGAAGTGTTGAATAAACTCTTTCTTCCTCAGCAATAGTAATAAAGTCAGAGCAGTCTGTGAATGTTTTACCAGCCAACACCATCTTCAGCCTTATAGTGCTCACATGATGGTGTGAAAGCTCTGTAGAACAACAGTGAACTTCACTACTGGGTCACTCCACACTGACTCACCAACAGCATGTCCGGACATGTCCTGGATTTACATGGAACAGTTCAAGCAGAAACTTCAGTTTAGTTCAGTCACAGTAAACTGTTTTCTCTATTAGTTTTCTCGATTAGAGTCCAAATTGCATTTTAAAAATGAGTTTAACTACTTACAGAATTACTGAACAGAAGTGATATTTTGAATAAATAATAATAATGTTTACTTCACACAAACTAGATTTGTGCTAATAAATGACCTCATCAGCTTTATTTATTGGAGTGTGTACAGTTTATGTCCAATTGTGCAATCATTTCTATTTAAGCTTAATTTTTTTGAGATTTTGTAGTATTGTAGCCACCTGCTATTGACTGGAGCTGGTCATGTGAGTGGCCACACATAGAGGCTCGTGTTAGGCACAGGCACAGCTAAAATGGGACTGTTCATGTTGTTTATTGTTGTTAAGGTTGCTGTTTGCTAATTTAAAGATATGTATATGTGTTTATTGTCTTATTCTGTGACCGGAGTGTGGGCATTTTGTAGAGATTTACCAATCAGTGTTTTTGGGACCAATACTGATCACCAATTGCCTTGCAGTACAATTGGCTGATAGCTGATATCAATTGAGGGTGGTGCTGAATTTAACATTTTAAGGTGCAGAAGTGATTCTTAACAGCAAAAACATCCTTCCCTTCCGTGCTCTTTCAGAAGCCCTGTCCCTCAAATTCATGGACACACCACGGGCAACAACACTTTTTAAGATCTTTGTGGCCTTTAAAACCCTTAGCAATTGTTGTATGAGCAAATGTCATGATATAACATTAGAGCTAACAATGACCCAGCGAGTAATGTAACTAACGTCAGCTAGGTTGTTGGTTAGTTAACTCACTGTGAAGCTAAACACAAATTTTAGAAAACAGGACACAACAATGCTGACCTACTGATTCTGTGAAACAGTAAAAAATAAGTTATTGTTACTCACCTGCCAAGCATCAACAGAGCAGCCCTATTCATGCCTTTGAACTGTCCTTCTGCTTCACTTGATGGGTTTTTACATGTATTGGAAAGGCTAAAAGGGCTGACATTCAACTGCTTTTGTAGTTCTGCCTCTTATTTTTATTTCCAGCCCCTGCCGAAGACATAGCCCATAAATCTAGTGCAGTTTAAGCTAAGACTTAAGATACTAACCTGCTAACAGAAATGCACTGCCAGAACTTTGACAACAAATCAAGTTAATTACTGCTCTACATGTTCACACAGTGAGTTTACAGCCTAACAGGAGCTGAAAATGGGGTTTAATGTGTGTGTGTGTGTGTATATATATATATATATATATATATATATATATATCAGAGCAAAAAAGCACTGAAACTGTAAAAAGAAAACACTGGATTTACAAATGAACCTTCATAAAACTCCAGAAAAGTGCTGTAAACTGAAGTTTGTGTATGAACTTGAAACTCCATGAGGTGAGCTGGTGTGGAATGACCCATCTTTAACTCACATTTAATCCAAACGTCTGTAGGTGTGATTCCCAGTCATAAAGTGTGTTTTTTTGACAGAGGGAGCTGAAGGAGGTGCAGAGAGAATTCCAGCAGATGATCCATGAGGAACAAAAGCAGCTACAGAAGCTGGAACAGGCTGTGGACACTCTTAAGGTGAGGACTGAGCAGAGATTGCATATTTCAGAGCTCAGACAGGTTCTCCTCCAGTCCACTCACTGCAGAGTTACCTTCATTTCCCTTAGAAAATCAACAAAATGGGTGTTAAAGAACTCCTGGAGAAACTGGAGCAGGAGGTCGCTGATCTAAAGAGGAGAAACACTGAGCTGGAGCAGCTTTCACTCACAGAGGATCACCTCAGTTTCCTCCAGGTAACAATCACTGATCTACAGAGGAACCTGTTCATCATCAACTTCATCAAACTCCTCTCAGCTAAAGTTCATGAAGACAGTAATAAACAGAGCTCTCTCTGATCACTCGCTCATCTTTAGTCTGATTTGGTCTGAGCTGCTTCATTCCTCTTTTTCTCCATTCTGTTTTTCTCTGTGTAGAGTTTCCCGTCTCTGAGCGTCTCTTCTGGATCTGAGGACTCCTCCAGCATCTCTGTCCATCACCATCTCTCATTTGATGGAGTGAGGAGCGCTCTCTCTGATCTGAGAGAGAGACTAGAGGAGTTCTGCAGAGAGGAGTTCAGGAAAATCCCTCCACAGGGTAAGAGGTTGTTGTAACTCTTGTTGAGCTCAGTGCTGAGAACGATTCCACCACCCAAGTAATACCTGTTCAGTGGGGGTCCTGTGGGGGTCTAGACCACTGATGACCCACTGATGCAGAGACACAGATGGACTACAGTCTGTAAGTGTAGAACTACAAAGTCCACCTGTGTACAGTAAGTCAGGGTCGTCCAGTCTGATCCACAAAGGGCCAGCATGACTGCAGGTCTTCATTCCAATCCAGAAGGAGCTCATCATGATCAACTGTTAGAAGACTGATCAGAAGGTCAGTTCCTGCTGGACTGGAATGGAAACCTGCAGTCCTCTGTGGATCAAACTGGATGCTCCTGCAGTCAGTGGAGCTGAGAAAATGGACAATGAGTGTAGATAGAAGGTAGGTGGAACTAATAAAGTGAGTTTGCAGAGAGATCAATAAAGAGAATGGAAGGTAATGTATGCACAATACATAAACAGCTTTTCAGCACTTTTGCTCTATTCAATTCTATTGTGATCTGTTGTATTGTACTGATACTATATCATGTGTGTTCTTGTGTCTCCACAGCTGCAGCAGCTCCTTTATTACTCTCAGAACCAAAGAGCAGAGAAGATTTTCTACAGTGTAAGTTGAGCCTTTAGGCAGCGTCTGAAATTCTCACTGTAGAGACGTTTAAAGTCGAAAACAAACACAACAACAAACAACGTTTTTCTAATAAGAACTTTCTGTGAACACAAACATAAACTGATTATTTTCTTTATTTTATTGTGATTTTATTTAGATTTCTGTCAGCTGACTCTGGATCCTAACACAGCAAATCCGTACCTCATTCTGTTTAAGAAGCACGGAGTGGTGAAGTGGAGTAATAAAGACCAGCGTTACCCTGATCATCCAGAGAGATTTGACCACGTATATCAGGTGCTTAGTGTGGAGAGTCTGAGTGAACAGTGTTACTGGGAGGTTGAGTGGAGAGGAGATGTGTACATATCAGTCTCATATAAAGAGATCAGCAGGAAAGGCGGTATTGACTGTGTGTTTGGACATAACAATCAGTCCTGGAGTCTGCTGTGTTATTCTTCCTCTTTCACTTTCTGGCACGACAACATCAGAACTCCGGTCCGAAAAGCTTCATCCTCCAGAATAGGAGTTTATCTGGATCAGAGTGCAGGAATTCTGTCCTTCTACCGCGTCTCTGACACAATGACCCTCCTACATACAGTCCACACCACATTCACTCAGCCTCTCTATGCTGGGTTCTGTGTTTATACAGAATCATTTATGAGGTTGTATGGTAAAAAATGGTGATGGTGATCAGGGCTGATGGTTTGTGAGGCCTGTTTGACTAAGTGTCTGCTTTTATCATCCCCTTTTCCTCCTCTAAATATATAGTCTATTAATACTGATTATCCTCTTGAAATCTCAGGTTTATTACACTGTAAAGGTTTGTTCCCACACAGTGACTGCCCACTTTTCCAGTGCCTCTGGTACAGGAAGTAAATATCCCATTTGTTTTCTCCATAGAAAACATCTTTTTAAGCACCCCAATTAGCTACTAGCTCAATCATAACATAATAACCACTTATTTGGAGTGGGAAATATTCTGAAAAACACAATAAGGCAAACATACAAGACTGTATACTTGTGTGTTTAATGTACTTCAGATCCCAAAAAGCGCTGTGAATGATTTAAGCAATTGCATGTTTTCTTTTTACTATGTTAGAATGATTTTAAGAACTGTATTAATCCTCTTATGGATTGTTTTACTCATTGATGTTGTCTCAATAGACAAATATAATTACACCCAGGGAACCTATGACACTTTATTAATAGTGATGATATAAAGTGTGTTTGTGTATTTACCTTAAGAGATCTGCTATTGTTGGTAAATAATGTGAGGTGTGTAATCTGTATCTTATGCTGTAATAGTTTGGTGTAAATAAAAGTGATTTACTAAACCTTCTTTTCTCTGCAGACATTGTTTATTTAAGAAAAGACTGTGGTGTCCCACTTAGAGTTAGGTCTACACATGAAGCATAGGCCTGGGGCTGTCATGCCTTTGATTTGCTCTAGAACATAAACCATTATTGCATATATCACCAAGTTATGGTTATCATCTAATAACTCACTATGAACCATCACACCTACTTAGATCACAAGGTGCTGGCTTACTATTAGTACCTAGAATTCATAAAGTTACGTCAGGGGGCGGAGTTTCTCATACAAAGCCCCCCAGCTTTGGAATAATCTTCCTGTTAATGTTCGGGACTCAGACACAGCCTCAATGTTTAAGTCTAAGCTAAAAACTCACTTGTATAGTGAAGCCTTTGGTAATTAGTCTTCCCTGTCGGTTCTATACCTGCCAGAGTCTCTGCTGCTCTGCTAACACTGTAATCTGTAATCAGTCACCCATTACAGAACTGACATCCATTACAGAACTGACTCTCAGTTCTGTCCGTCACTCATTACAGAACTGACTCTCTGTGTGTTTTTCATTTCCTTTCTTTCTTTCCTTTGCCGAGTTGAACAGCTGCCCATCCTGTGCGTCTGATGCTGCTGCCTTTTCTGCCTTCATAGGGTGCCACTGCTCGCCAGACCTCTGGACCGGCTTGACCACCATCAGGCTTCATAATGTACTACGCCATGCAAACCTCACCCTCACAACCTGACCCCAGTGATGCTGATGCTGGTGCCACTGCTGCTGCTGCATGAACTAAACTAAACAACTTAATTATTGCTCTACCCGTTTTCCCTGTTTTTGTACTAACAATGTTTACTATCCGGTGTCGACCAGAGGAGGATGGGTTCCCCTTCTGAGTCTTGGTTTCTCTCAAGGTTTCTTCCTGTTTCTCTTGGGGAGGTTTCCTTGCCACTGTCGCCACTGGCACCGCTTATGGGGTCTTGGACTCGGATTTCTTTCTGTAATGCTGATTTCCTTGTGAAGCTGCTTTGTGACAACACCTGTTGTAAAAAGCCCTATATAAATAAACTTTACTTGCTTACTTACTTACTATTTTCTTTTCCATGCTCTTGAGTCTGTACTGCTCTGTACTGAGTCCACCTTTTGTGCTTGGCCAGTGGCTCACTCCAAAGCATTCTGGTATCTAAACAAGGAAACCACCAGTTTGATTCCTGCTGGGAGTAAGCTAGCTGTCACACTACAGCAAGACTGAGCCAGAATATGTACTCCACAGAGCAGCCACTCAGGGCTTGGCTATTGGCCGTCATTGGCCATCTAGCTCAACTGCATTGCCTGGCTAAAGTCCAATCAGCAGAGCCCCAGCCCTGCCTGCGGTTGATCCTTCTCCGAAAATCCCTCTAAATAATGTACAAGCCCACAGAGCAGAACCTACTTTACTCCCTCCGGACAGGTATAACTGAGAGCCTGGGCAATGTAGGGACTTTCTCCTGCAATGGATGTTGGCATTTGAGCAGCTATACATTCCCCCAACTAAATGTTCTAAAGTAGCATACGTCATCTCACTACTTAAGAGCCTTGCTTGCCTTACTTGCTGAGCCTTGGCCTGGGTCTACCCTGTGTGGGAGAACAATGTAACCACATGCTGCTTGTCAGTTTTATGGTCGCAATGCACTGCACATTCGATCACCCAGTCTGTTAGTAAGTGGTTGGTTCTCGTCTCTTCCAGGTGAGGGAAGGTAAACATTCAGTGGTGGATTACACCATCATAGAGTGGTTGGAATGAAGAGGCATTGAAGGCTGCCTTTCAACAGGGTCTCAGCAGCAGGGTCAAGGATAAACTGGCCACCTGCAATGCACCATACTCGCTGGATAAGCTCATTAAGCTGGCTCTGAGGTTGGACAACTGACTGTGGGAGCACAGTAGAAAGAAAGGTCCATGTGCTCATGGGTTAGACCTGGCCCGTCACTTTGCAGCTAGGTCAACACATTGATTTCCTTCCTGCTCATCCAGGCTTCTGAGCTGCAGCTTGTGTTGAGGTTCCCCTGGCTGCAGTGGCACAATCCTTTGCCTGGATTGGTTGACTAGGTCCGTGGCGGGCTGGGGACCTCAGTGCCAGGGATTCATGCATTGCAATGCTGACGACAGTCAGGCTGATGAATGCCTCACGGTCTTTTGGCACTTTACACTACGTGTTCCTCTACCTAGATGTTATCCTCATCTTCATTCACTCAGTAGACAAACACGTGGCTCCTGTCCACAAAGTACTCCAGCAGGAGCCATCTATACATTAAGCTGAAGAAATCCATTTTCCATGTTCAGTCAGTTAACATGCTTTGGTTTGTGGTCTCCAAGAACCATCTGAGCAAGGACGCAGCTAAGACTCAGGCCATCACAGAATGGCCACGCCACATCTCTCTGTTCAGTTCAAAGCTTTCTGGGCTTTGCCAATTTTTTCCGCTGCTTCATACAGAACTTTAGTACCAAGGCAGCTCCCTGACTGCCCTTACCTGATGCTTCCAGTGGACCCCAAGGCCCAGAAATCTTTTGAAGAACTTAAGAAACAGATGAGCTCAGTGCCGGTCTTGCATTTTGAGACCTTATGGGGAGACCTTAAGTTTGTCCTCAGGCTTTCACCCTCAGTCTAAAGAGCAGGCTGAAAGGATAAACAAGGACTTTGGAAGAACACTCCAGTGCATGGCATCCACTAGACCCTCCACCTGGTCTGAGCATGTTCTCTGGGAGTATGCCCATAACACTCTCCTCTCTGGGGATGTTGCCCTTTGAGTGGCAATTTGGGTTTCCTGAGCAAGAGCCATAGCCCGAAACTTTGTTTTGCGTTGTCGGTGGTCATGGCAAAAGAAGATGGCTGACCATAGACAATGTTTTGGGTCCCTCCTTCTGCCCAGGGCAGTGAGTATGGGTATCCACTAAGGATCTACTACTAAAATAAAAAAAACAGAAAACTTGCCCTAAGTTACATAGGCCCTTTTAAGGTGGAGCATCAGATCAACACAGTGGCCTACCAACTCCTCCTCCCCCACACCGAGTTCACGGGCGTACTCAGTACAGGCTGGAGGGATGGTGCTGAGTCCCACCTTTAGTTATTTGAAACTCTCTTTAGTTTGAAGACGCTGATTTGGTGTCTCTTTTGTTTGGCCTCAACCTCACCCCTTTTGTTTATAAACTCTTCAACGAAGATCTTAACAGCATTGCCACGATAGCTCAGCGGTAACGCTCTCGTCCCTGCATCAACATGTTGTGGGTTTGAGTCTCGCTTGGTACAAACACAATTGTCTTCTTTCCCACACTCTCAAGTCTGTACATGCTTTCTAAAAGAGGCTGAGAAGTGGAGAAAACTCTGCCAGTGATCAGGAGAACAAACTGGACAAATGTCAGTAATCACTGATTCATTTTCAGAGTAAGGAGCTAACATGCCTGGTATGTAGTTTTTAGGTTCCAGTTCTGTTATCCCTAGCTAGCTAGCTTCTAGCTGCTCAACTTACTGCTTTAGCTGCCTTTCTCACATCTCAGGAAACTTCTCCGCGAGTTTCTTCTAAAATGTATCTCAATGTTCGACTTCTTACAAGGTTGAAGTCGCTTCTCATCCTCCAGCTTCTCGTTCAAATTGTCCCATTTTACCTTAAATGGTGCCTGAGGCGCCAGATTGTCCTGCTGCGCCATTTTTCACGAGTTCCTGCAGATTAAACATATCAGCAAACAAGAGTGATTTATGAATGTAAATCCATTCATCTCCAAATTATCGAAGTTTATCTCAAATCTTTCTCTTTGCGGTTTTGTTATCTGCGATGCCATGTGTCCAGCAGTCTGTCCTTTTTGTCCATTTTATCAGCTCCACTTACTATATAGGGTCACTTTGTAGTTCTACAGTTACAGACTGTAGTCCATCTGTTTCTCTGCATACTTTGTTAGCCCCCCTTTACCCTGTTCTTCAGTGGTCAGGACCCCCATGGACCCTCACAGAGCAGGTACTATTTGGGTGGTGGATCATTCTCAGCACTGCAGTAACACTGACGTGGTGGTGGTGTGTTAGTGTGTGTTGTGCTGGTCTGAGTGGATCAGACGCAGCAGTGCTGCTGGAGTTTTTAAACACCTCAGTGTCACTGCTGGACTGAGAATAGTCCACCAACCAAAAATATCCAGCCAACAGCGTCCTGTGGGCAGCGTCCTGTGACTACTGATGAAGGACTAGAGGATGACCAACACAAACTGTGCAGCAGCAGATGAGCTATCGTCTCTGACTTTACATCTACAAGGTGGACTGACAAGGTAGGAGTGTCTAATAGAGTGGACAGTGAGTGGACACAGTGTTTAAAAACTCCAGCAGCACTGCTTTAGGGCCTCACAGGGTTTCCTCACACTGAAAAAGAACACTACAATCAATAAAGCTGAATATCTATCATTTACAGAGGCACATACTCTGCTGTTAGCCTATCTAGAGCTATGATTTATCTCTAGATGTTCAGAACTGCTTCATCATTTAAGTATTGTGGAATTTTTATTGTTATTATCCACTTTAATAATTCTGCCTCTGGGTTGAGGGTTTCCAGTCACCTGTGGAGACTCACCTAAATCACACTGATCAGATACGTTCAGGATGAACCCTGCATAGCTGTGGATGATGCACCACTGTGTGTGGCTTGAAAAGCTTTGCCACCATTCATATAGAAACCACACATATGGAGATATAGTGAAACAGCTACATGTATAAGTAACAAAAAAAATAAAGCGATAGTTTGTCCAAAAAAATATTTAACCAGTTTCCCCAAATGTAGTCTATCAGTAAAGACATGTTTGGTGTCTCAAGTCTGCTTCCTTAGTTTTAGCACTGGAACTATGAGGCTAATTACATCACTCACTCTTTAAATAGCTGAATAAAGCTCCTCATGGTGCTGCAGAAACACGGTGGACCTCTGCACTAATTTCATACTCCTTTATACAGAACAGACTCAGAGCGATTCAGTCAGAACAGAGCAAACAGAACATCTCATTTACTGGAATAAACAGCACACGCCTCCTGACC